TTACCCATTGCTCTTCTTGAGTGTCTGGTGTATGGCTCTTTTGCTGACTTTGGGATTGAGCGTCCACTGGCTGCCACATGATGACTGGCTGGCTGAAGTTTACCGCTTTTGGCGTCGATTGCTGATTTTAAGGCTTTTTACTGTTCTGTCCTCACTAAATGTTGTGAGCTATTTAGCTAAGACAGACAGCAAACATATGAGTTTGTTTTACTCATTTACTGTAAAACTGTAACACACAAATACAGCAATTAGAATCAGTGAATTACAGTGTCTTCTTTGTCTGAACTAACAGTAGTTACTGTCTAATAACATTACAGAGTTGGAAAGACCATAAAATATTACAGTATTACTCAACAGCTCTATTAGCATAAGAAAAGTCCGCTAGCATAACTCATATTTCTCACAGGAAACGAATTACGGTTGATCTCAGTACATACAGAATAATAACATATAGATATGACAATCTTCAAAACCAAAACTTACAGCCTTAAGTGGGCCAAACAACACTTGGGAGGGCTGCTCTTCTGCCATACAGGACAGTGTAACGTTCTCAACTGTCACATTGCACACATAGCGCGCGCCACTAGAGGGCACTATAAAATGACACAAACCCAACTTGCAATATGTAACTTATTAACCATAACATATATGCCTGTTTATTTATTTAGGCTTTTCATGATTTTTATGTTCAGAAACACTATCACATGTTAAATATTTATAGCAAAGAAGGACAGTATTATTGTTGATAACACAATATTTTGGTCCATCAGGTGCAGAGATAGTTTCCCCGTATCTTTTCACTTGCAATTTAGATGCGTCTACTTCTTTATCGAATAGTATGGCTTCAGATGACCGAACGTTAAAGTAATTATAATAGATATCCTTAGTAACAAAGAGACAACGTCCCGGGAGTTTCCAACTTTGGAGAAAAGAAAACAGATTTCCCCTTGCACATGTGCAGAAACCCGACAGAACTAAAAAACACAATCTGATCAAATATTTGGTTTGAACATCTTGGATACAATATGATACATTCATAAGCTTTCATTTATTATTTCTATCATTGACCAACAGTTGAGTTATCCCCGGGAGGTGCGTACATCAATACATTTACAGTCAGTCAGTAAATTTTCTCGACAGAACACCGGCTGCAAACACAAAATGAATTTTTATAGAACGTGATTTCACCTGATTGAGTTTACGTGTTTGTGCCGGAAGTTCCTAATATTAACTGGATGCATCTAAAAACAACTCCAGGTCTGTCAAACAGGTGGCTAATATGTCTCCTTTAAGTATTCTGTTGAATTTTGTAAATACCTTTTTACTTTTTCAGAACAAGGATGGAAGTAGGAGTGGCAGCATTGTTGTTAACAGTGTTGTTTCTCAGCTTGTTTTGACACAGCGGCACAGTGATGCCAAGTTGAAATGTCACACTGCCTGTTGGTAATACCAATTACCACCGGGAGGCTGACACCATGTTTTCCACAAAGCCCCTTTAAATTCAAGATAAAATCAATCCGGCTTTTTCTGCCTTTTATTTCAGCAATGGTGCCTGGAAAGAGCTGCCAACGTGAACATTCATATTAATCCACAGATTACGAGTCAAAGGATGAAACAGGCTTATGATTCTGAAATCTAGATAAAGTGCTGAAATCCCAAAAAGCAAAAGCGTGTTCATCTCTCAAAAACGTTGAGATAAGCAGAATTGGAAACGACCGATTTCTCAATTTAGCGAATCAATTAAGGGACCAATTTTGAAGTCGTGACTGACATCGAGAAGCTTTCGCAATGTTTTAGGATCAGCAGAAATCACTAAAGCGGAAATAATAAACACATGTTTTGCAAATACCGTAAATACACATGTCATGTATGATTGGAACGCTTAGAACCTCTTGAATTCAGTATTTAGGGAGAACATTTTCGCATTTTATGTTTTGTCTGGTATCTGAAATTAAAGTGAACAAAAAGAACATGCATAAACATTTTTGGGCACTTTCCCAGAAAATTGGCAGAATACAAAAAAAGAAACTGGTATTGGTTTCCTCCTGTGGAGGAGGATCAGAGAGGGGATGGTGGTCTGTGACATGGGTAGCATCACTGACTGCCACCCACTCGACCCAGAAATCCAAAATGGTCGTCCCTCTAATTCTAATTCAATGTCCATAAACTACTGATTTTTCCAAACCACTCACAATCCAGGATTCTTTCAAAATAAGACACTTCACCCACATTGAGTCTGGAGGTGATCTGTCAGTGTGCCCCAGGGCAGCTGTGGCTACAGTAGTAGTTTATCACCACCGTGTATACAGTGAAAGAATAATCACATGTGAAGCGTCTTTGAGTGTCCAAAAAAAGTGATATAACCGATGCATTATTATCATTGCCGACTGCCACCCCCCTCCCGGACCCAGAAATGGATAAAGGGGAAGAATATGGATGGATGGATGCATTTTATCATTATTTACAATCACAGGGTTGTGTTTGCAGGCAGGAATTTTCAAAGTTGGAAAAAAACCAAACACACTCTACACCTCCCTTTGGTGGTCTCAGAGCCAACTGCATTGTTTACCCTTCATACTTGTTTCACCATATATTTCCTGTTTACAATATAATTTCACAATCTAAAACATGAAATAGTTTATAATTTCAATGGCCACAAAGTATGCGTCTTATTTCTTCTTTGATACAATAAGCAATGTATTGTCTATTAGCACGACACTTGACTATAATTGTTAGCCTGTTATCACCGATGCACTTTGTTGCATAATAGCTGTCGGATTCATTAGCCGTAGTTCGACAATAAGTGCACACGTGTCGGTGCGAAAACACTCATCAGAAGCGGGGGAACTTGAGCAGGAAATGTTAGTAATGGCATGTAATTTATGTAATGAATTGAAGCTAGTTTGAAGAAGAAAAAATCCATATTGATGTTTCTCATTTGTATCCCATTTAGCCTAAGAGCGGCTTTTAGGGGTGAAAAACAATGCTAGCCTGCCATTGTGAATTGCTTCTCTCTCTTGTGCAGTAATTGTCCGCATGTATTTGAAGATTTGTTTATACTCGGAGCAAGCACTTTCGTTTTTCGCCGTGGTTAAACTGCTTAGGAGAGCGCTTTGCAATCACAGGGGCGGGACAGAAGCACCTTAATGTTACACCGGTAGCCATCATAAAAAGCCAGAGCTTCCCTCTCTCTCTCTCTCTATATAAACACAAACACCTTTCTCACGGGGACACACACAAACGGCAAAAAAATGCCTTAAACAATTTCCAATTTAGAAAGCTATTGTTTTTCTCAGCTCCGCTACAAACTCAATTTAAAAGTTGGGTAGCGAGAAGAAAAGAAACCTTCTTTGTTTAAGATGTGTGCAGAGCATTAGGCGCCCATATGGGACGCTGGAGGAGGGAGGATGTGTCAAGAGTTATTTTTTATTATAATCGTAGGGCCTCGGTTTGAACTGAAGACTCGCGAACGCTCACCTGGGAAGAGGGGAGTAATTACTTGATGGAGGGAGGAGAGGATGGTGGTGTTGAGGAAGGCAAACATGGCTTATCAGTTTGCCTGTGCTCCTGGCCCACCCAAATGCTTTGTCACTGCGGCTCGCTCCGTGTCAGAATTTCATAATTGCTGCAGGGCACGCTGCTGTGACTCCCTGCCAGGATGGGCTCTCCAAAGTTTACATTTGATTACCATCACTCACCTGCTTGCATGATTTAACTTTGAGAAAATAACTGACTCTTTTTTAATTTATATATAGAAAAATAAAGGGGTCGTCACATTTAATAACAATGCTCGTTTTATATAGTGCTTTCTTGGACACTCAAAGTCTCTTTACATGTCATTATTCTTTCTCTCCAAACACAGTGGTGATAAACTACTACTGTAGCCACAGCTGCCCTGGGGCACACTGACAGAAGCAAGGCAACCAGTCTGTGCCATCGGCCCCTCCCACCACCACCATCATTCACACACACACCAGACTCATTCTAGGCAATGGGGGTGAAGCGTCTTGCCTAAGGTGTTCCCAGAGGTGAAGTGTCTTGCCAAGGACACAACGACAGCAGACATCAGAGGGAGTTGATGGTGAAAGTCTTGAGGTGGGCTCGAACCCACGATCCTGTGGCTCAAAGGCCAATGTTCTATCAACTGAGCTACTGTCGCCCAACATTTAATGCTGATGAGTTGGGCAACTACTGTTAAGGCTTGATATGGCATTTTAATTTTGTCTTAATCCTATAACATAAACACAAAACAAGCAGTATACTCAGTTTTGAGTTGGAAGGGGGTGGACAAAGCAGACCCCTCTCATCCATACACTCACACCTACACTTACACACAGACAGGACCGATCACTCTCTGACCAAACACTCTCTCTCCTCTCCATGCCTCTTTGCTACTTCTCCAAACTCCAAAACATTTCCGTTCTAGTTTACTATATTCTTCTGTTATTCCGTTCACATGCCGACAAAGATCTTCTAACACAAGAGCAGTATCATATTCCATGATTCATCAATTCAAAACGATCCTAAGTACACAATAATAACCTGAATAAAAAGATAAATGTTAAATGTGGCACTAGCAAGCTGCAACATATTACAGCTACAGTTTAGTTCATGTTTTTGATCCGGTGTGATCCATGCTTCCACAGCCCAATTAAGATCCAAACGCATCACCCACAGCAAAACATCAATATCTGACAAGACGTAAAACTAGTGACAAAGAAATAGGAATCGAATCAATCTATCAATTATTATATTTTTTTTTTTCACACTCTAAAAAATAGTTCATAAGATCACTACAACACACAGCCTTTGGCACACATTGGCCAAACAGTTGTTGACAGCGTCTTCACTGAGATCTCACAAACTACAGCAGCCGAAGCCCTGCAGAGTCTCACTGTGGCTTGATGAAACTTGTGGAGGCCGTGGCGTGCCAGGCCGGGGGTTGGGGGGTTGTGTGTAGTGATTTCGCCTCTCTGATAAAGTATGTCATCAGTACTTACAGTTGACCACCAGGCTCTGGGAAGCCTCCATTTTCTCGTTGTCAGCCAGCGCACATTTGTATTCGCCGCCTGCGTCGCGAGCGATGGCGGGCATGGTGTAAGTGTCGGAATTCTCCACAAGCGTTTTCTGGCCCTAGAGAACAGAGAAAGGCCGAGAAGGAGGGAAAACCATTATTGGAAAAAGGCAGCGATGGCAAAAGTATTGGTGCTTAAAGCTGGGGTACCTAAAGATGTGTCCTATATACTACATAATGTGTGTCCAAACATAGAGTCAATGTAAAATATGCGGACCACTACATGCTGTCTTCATGTTATTAAAAAACATTTGTCACTGACTGAGAGTGGTCCTCTGTTTCTCACTTCTGTCTGTAAAAGCTGATCTAAAAATGTGACAAAAAAAATGGCCAGAAAAGACATGATCTGAACTTAGAAACGGGACTAACCGTAATCAATTAAACAATGAATCCACTTAGAAGCATGGCTAACCACTATAATGTCGATGTATGTTTATGTTGTGATATTTGACTGTAAAAGTATAGTGAGTGAAATTATAATAACAATAATAATAATAATACATCAAACTTGTATAGCGCTTTTTTGGACACTCAAGACGCTTCCCGTGGGGAAAAGCTTGGGTTTTGAGACTAAAGTTTGGTTGTGAGGCAGAGTTTCTAATGGGCAGTGGGAGTGAGTTCCAGAGGGTTGGGGCGGCAATGGCAAAGGCTCTGTCCCCCAAGGTCCGGAGGTTAGTGCGGGTGATGGGAGTGAGGAGGTTGGAATGGGCTGAGCGAAGGCGGCGGGTGGGTTGGTGCTGTTGTAGGAGCTCAGTAAGGTAGGGGGCGGGGCCAGGTTATGGAGGGACTTGTAGGTGAGGAGAAGGAGCTTGTACTGGATACTGCCAGTGGAGCTGCTGGAGGACAGGGGTGATGTGTTCTCTGGACCAGGTGTGGGTGTAACTGTATAAAATTGTTTTGAGCATGATTTCATAGTGGTACAATGACGTCATACTATCACAGGGCTGAGGGCAGACAACCCTTTTAGTCTGAAGGGTTCAATATTTGTAACCTGCATGTCCCTTAAGTAGAAAATAATACTCAGTTAATTGACAACCCTGGAAAAAGGCTAGTTGATTGTATTCTGCTTGCATTTCATTAAAGAGAGATTTCCTTTAATTCCAGAACCCATATGGCGTTACAGGCTCTGCAAAACATGTCTATTCCAGCATTACTAGGAAATTATGCTTTTTTTCTCTCATCTTTTCTTCTTTTCTATTCAAACGATAAGCTGTAAAAAGTGGCCGCGGGGTCTGAATGGAGAAAAGATGGAAGAATTCACAATGGCCCTTGTATTATTCTTGAAACTCCAATGTGGACGCCTCACTGACCTTGATGTGGAAGTAGAAAGCTTTGGGTGGAGGGTTGCCGTCAGCGTGGCATTTCAACGTCACGTTATCGCCCTCCACGATCGGGCCCTTGCTCAGGACTTGAAGGCTGACTTTCTCCGATGGATCTGCAATTAGAGAAAGGATGGACTGAATATTTGACAACGACTACAGCCGCGAGCAAGGTCTTCATCTGCACAAAAGGGTCAGTTTGAGATATGAGCGAAACATCCACCAACTTGTAATTGTAGTGAACGGAGGTTGATCCAAATTGTGGGAATGATAGCAGCCTCCATGTCATGTATAAAGGTGGACAATGCTAACAAGGAAGTGCTCAGGGTGACAATTTTCTTTCAACGTATGGTTCCACTCACTACAATTAGGTATTATTTTGAAATACATATTATATTTATGACTAAATAACATAAAAAATAGCTGATATTTTGTTGATCTAAAATTATATGATGATATTATATTATCACCTGTGTGGTGTTTGTGTAAGTGTATGTGAACTGCATTGTATAAATAAAGATTGCTCACTCCTACTCACAATGACAAAAATAAATATTTTCTGATAAAAAAAAAAGGCAAGTAAATTGGTAACTGGTAGTGCAAAAATGTGTAGTGCATTGTGTTGATGCAATACATTACCTAATTCACAACATCTTTTAGTGAATTACTATTTAGACCTGACAGATAATCACTTATGAGCAGTTTGAGTTTGGGTCAGAACCATGACTTCATCTAGTTTCAGAGTGAGAGTGGCTTCCTTTTCTTAATTGGGAGGGGATCTATTTTAATCAAGTGGAAAAACACTGCACAATGAATGTCCTGAATGGTCTAGAGCAGGGCTGCTCACACTTACATGCGAGCTACTTATAAAATGATCAAGTCAAAATGATCTACCTACTACAAAAATGCAAAACATATATTTATTTCTAAATATATTGAGGATTCATTATATTTACAATGTATGTTGATGTACTTGCAAAACCGCATGATTTATGAAATAATTTGCATCCACACATAACGAACATCTGCGTTTTCAATCACATTCATAACATTCCAAACATGTGCGTCTCTGACGTCCTGCGTTGGGGAAAACACAGAAGTGGGCGGAGCTTTGATGCAGACGCCGGTACTTCTGTAGCAGCACTTACAGTCATAGTAGAAACTCAGGGTGAAGACATATGTTTACAAGCACTGACCCCAGTCCTCAGCCCTGGTTTAGTCCTGGTTTAGTCCTGTTTTGGTTGTTTTCGAGCGAGAGTCCCCGTGATCATTTCACTGCTCTCTGATGTGGAGGATGTTCTCTGCTGTGAACGGCTGCAGCAGTGAACAGTTTTTAAGGCAGTAAGATCCATGCTTCAGTGATCAGAGGTCGCACGTTTTGTTTGTTGTTTTGGAGCATGCTGTGACGTGAGAAAACGCAAAACTCTGGTTATCTCTGTCTACACGCAAATGCATAAACGGATAATTTTTTATGTAATGCGATCCACCAATACTGCCTTTGCGATTGACGTATTGAGCACCCTTGATCCAGAGTGATCCAGTGAGTCTAGGGAGAATGAAGTGTTCATGTTTGAGGTCTTACTTGCCGATAACTTGTGGTTGCGTTTTAATGGTTTAGATGCAGGAGTATAAACTCATTTTGGTTGAGGGCCGAAAAAAAATCATAGTGCTGATAAGGGGCCGAAAGAAGAAGTGGGTTTCATTTATTATACTTGTTTGATAATATGAAAGTATCTGTATAAATGACTTGTTTCACATTAGTTAGACTGGATATTCTTTTCTGATCGACTTAGTTCAGTTCCTGTGGACTGAACCAAAACTGAACCAAATATTGAAGGTATAGAAAGATTTTCGGGTGGATCATCAGACTATTGGTCCTCCCAACTATCAATCATTCTGGTGATTTGTGCTCGTCCAATAAGACCAGAGAGTTTTGTTCAAAAAGTGGAGAGGGCGGTTCTTTCCTAAGAAAATCGGGGAAATCCTCCTTCATATTTTTAAGAAGAAATATAACTGAAGACTCGTAAAAAAAACATAACATAACAACACTAACTTCTAATCACATGTTGGCTTCACATTTCTTATGGAATTAAATGTTATGGTTATTTTCTTGAGAAAATTAGTAATGGATTACATGCCATTGTCGCCTATTATCAACTCTGCTATTGAATATAATCATTTAAATTCGTTGCAGGGGCCACTGGAAATGGTCTCGCGGGCCGGATCGGGCCCCTGGGCCTCGACATTGACACCTGTGGTTTAGTGATTTATTCATGTTTTTACAAATGTTTTTATTTCTATTCTTTCATATGCAACTTTTATTCTTGTATTATCATTTTTGCATTTATAGAAAAAAACAAGTCACAAGTTTGTAAATTCCATTGATATTCGGCCTTGTAAAAAGCCAGTTGAGCCACTCCAAAAATGTAGCCTTGAAGCTCACAAATTGGAAACTCCCCGCTGAACCGAATTGTCGGGGCCTCGCAAAGATCTACCGCTTAGTTTTATCGACTCTCCCATCTCCACTTCAAAGTTCAAGGATGTGAATACAAAATAATAATTCCCAACAGATACCAAAACTCCCAAATCCTGAGAAATCCTGTGCGGAGAAGCCCACATTGTTCAGTGCTTAGTTATCGTGAGCCCGGTGAAAACATTGCCACACATAGGGCATTGTTCTGTTGTTCTCTTCCCCAATAAACGGATGCTTAACGTGTAATGAATGAAAATATACTGTTTTTACTGGGATTTGGACAGCAGGAGCCTAGATCTGTTTGTGTTATATTTTAGAAGCAGTGCAAATACTGAGTGCAGGGAGAAATAAGCTCTTCTTATAACCTCAAACGCAGGCGAGTCCTTGACTAGCACTCAACAAAAATACTTTGAATTTGAAATGGAATTAGGGTCATGGGATAATAATACAATGTTACACAACTATACACAACTATATAGCCTGAACAGTGTGGTATTGGGGCCGTGATTTCAAACATTGAAGCTGGGGTATCTAACTTTTGATGAATAGAATGAAAAGTTCTAACTCACAGGTGTCAAAGTCAAGGCCCGGGGGCTAGATCCGGCCCGCGAGACCATCTCCAGTGGCCCTTGAGATGATTTGAAATTATTATATTAAATAGCAGCATAAATGGTTTTAGGCGACAATGCCATTTTATCCATTACTAAGAAAACAATCATACATTTTCCGCCCTCTCCAATTTTTGAACAAAACTCTCTGGTCTTATTGGACGAGCACGAATCACCAGAATGATTGACAACTGAGAGGAGCAATAGTCTTGATGATCCACCCAAAAGTATAAAATCTTCCTTAAATACCTTCAATTTTTGGTCCAGTTTTGGTTCAGTCCACAAACTGAACTAATTCTGATCAGAAAAGAATATCCAATCTAACTAATGTGAAACAAGTCATTTATATAGATAATTTTAGCTCTATAGATAACCAGCTCTTTCTTTTTTTATTCAGGCCTCAACCAAAATAAGTTTGACACCCCTTCTCTAACTAGTTCCTGATTCTAGAACCCTAGTTTTCACATGAATGTATTTTGTTGTCATCATTGTTTGAAAAGCTTTTTGTCTTCCTCTCACACATGATGCTGATGTGGGGCAGGAGGAGGAAGGTAATTACAACGTTATCCTAATCGTCTGTTGTAGATAAACAAACTAATCTAATCTACGAAGCCAAGATGAACTTTCCTAAGTGAGTTGTTTATCTTGTTTTTGAGTGCTTCCTATTCTCCTCTTGTTATTGAACTGTTTGGCGATAAATAAGGTTTTTCAGGGCTATTTCACTGGTTTTAACAGAAGGGAGCACATCACCCCTGTCTTAGCGTCTCTCCACTGGCTCCCTGTGCGTTTTAGAATTGATTTTAAGATTTTACTGATTACTTTTAAAGCTCGTTTAGGTCTGGCACCAAGCTATATTTCTGAACTTTTAACCCCCTACGAGCCTTTCCCCCGCAGCCTTACATCCTCGCGCAGGTCCCTGTTGACTGCTCCAAGGTCGAGGCTCCGGACGAAACGTGACCGAGCCTTCTCTGTCCGGGCTCCTCGGCTTTGGAACCACCTGCCCGAGGAGACAAGGCTAGCACCATCAGTCTCCTCTTTTAAATCTCTTCTACAAACCCACTTTTATAAAACAGCTTTTAACTGTTAGTTTTAAACTTCACATGCTGTATTTTAATGTCTGCTTTGTCTTTGTTTGTCTCTTTTGTGTTTTGCTCTGTTTGCTTTGTGTTTCTGTATCTAATTATTTTGACCTTGCATTATGACTGTTTTATTGTTTATCATGCTGACTGTGCAGCGCTTTGTAAACATTGTTTTTAAAAGTGGTATACAAATAAAGATTATTATTATTATTTCAGTAATCAAGTATTCTATCAAATATTACCTTTGAATCATTGAGTAATCTTTTAGCTCTTAGCAGGACTGAAACTGAAACATAGTATTAATCGAGGCGACAACATGTTTGTTGTTTCAGCCCAGGTTTTCTCACCCGCACTTCATTCATATATTTCAATTATTAACAGTTGTCTTTCTCTGCACTATAGTTTAAAGCTTACACAACACTGGAATTACATTTTGCTTCAAGCTTCTGCATTTCAAACAACACCACACTTTCTGAATAAAGCCGGTATTTGGTGCTACTGCAGGACACGGACCTTTGGCTGTGGTTTTAGCAGCTGTGGTTTTAGCAGCTGTGGTTTTTGCAGCTGTGGTTTTTGCAGCTGTGGTTTTAGCAGCTGTGGTTTTAGCAGCTGTGTTTTTTGCAGTGTGCTGTGTCACCTGTATCAGCATGTGGTGTGTTTGTTTTCAGCTCAAGCACAGCACATGCCTTCATTGATTACTTCAACCTATTATGAGCTCCACTTCCTCGTCAGCACTGCGATAGACACTGATACAATAACCCTTTCTGGCGATGAATAGATTTATTCATCTGAAATAAATAGTTCCCACTCCTGAAGCCAGACTGGGATTTCACTCTCGGCAGGAAACTAGCAGCCACAATCTGCCAAATCGTCGGCACAGTGTGGTGGAACAAAAGTGTTTGTGCTCCAGGAATATGGTGCGATACATTTCCATTCATCCAAATCCTCCTACTATCAGCTCTGCCCTTATAGTGTGGAAGGCTTTAGTCGCAGCAGTATACAGACGTAATGCATAGTTGGAAATTGTGTGAAAAATTAAACAAAGAATCTGACAAAAAGAATCATTTTCCCTTTTTCCTTTCAATTGAATAAACAACTGTGTATGAAACGTAACAGTTAGGTTGCTATAAGGTGGTTATCTGGTGTTGGTACAAACTTTACTTAACAAGAAATAGCTCTACACTTTTGTTTAAATTAATGATGATGACCTTTTTACATAATACACACAGTTTGATATCATTTCTAGCCCTAAACCCAGCAAACAATTACAATGTCCTATTGTGTAAGATAGATAGATGCTTTATTGATCCCCTGTTGGAGAAATTCAGGTGTCCAGCAGCAGAAGACTCATCCAGGTTTGTTGTACAGTCTGACAGCCGAAGGAACAAAGCATCTCTTGATGCGTTCCGTTCGGCAGCGTAGTGATAGGAGCCTGTTGCTACGGTTACTGCTCTGAGCGGCCATAGTGTCATGCAGAGGGTGTGTGGAGTTACCCGGGATGCACTGCATTAGAGCCCTCATCCCTCACTCAGCACAGCTCCCACAGAGTCCACACTTCTCCCCCTCACAGAGACACATTTCCTGACGTAACCCCCGAAGAACACAGCACTAGCTACAACAGACTGGTAAAATATGTGCAACATCTGACATCAAAGGACCTCAGTCTACTCAGAAAGAAAAGTCTGCTCTGACCTTTCTTATAAACAGCATTGGCCTGAGCTGACCAGTCCAGTCTGTGGTCCAGGTGGACTTCTAGGTATTTGTAGGGCTGAACCACTACGTGAGTTTTATAGTCAGTTTTATATCAAGTGCATCAACAATAGGGAAGAACAGATTTGCAGAGCCACAAACACACAACTGTTTCTCTGACTTGTTTTCTCTAATCAGAAAGATCCAGTATCTTTTCCACAGGTCTATGCTACATGTTTTTTGTGAAATGTATCTGCTCTCTGCTATTCTTTATCATCACAAGGAGCGCAGAAAAAGTATGACAAACAAATTGAAAATAAAAAGATAAAAATATGAGTAGATTTGATACTGAGACCATACACAGTAAATAATACTGACTGCTTGTGGCCAATATTTCCCATTCAAAGATACAGACTTTGGAGTAGACTTCTGGAGCAAAGGGGCTTGAGGCAGGCCCAGCGACATGGGCCTTCAGTACAAACACTTAAAACATATGATTGTGTTCATGGTCTTAGAGGACAGCAACAGCTGCCTTTGACACTGTCGACCATGAGATCCTCTTACAGAGACTAGAGGACTGGGTTGGCGTCGCTGGCACCGCCCTAAGTTGGTTTAGGTCTTACCTTGAAGACAGGAAGTACTTTGTGGAGATTGGAAACTGTGTCTCAGATCATATGGCCCTGACCTGTGGAGTCCCACAGGGGTCGATCCTGGGACCTCTTCTGTTCAATCTCTACATGCTGCCGTTAGGTCAGTTAATACGCAGAAACGAAGTGTCCTATCATAACTATGCAGACGACACTCAGATCTATGTCTCACTGACTGCAGGAGAACATGGACCAGTGGACTCACTCCTTCACTGTATCCAACAGATCAGTGAGTGGATGCAAAACAACTTCCTTCAGCTAAACGCAGACAAAACTGAAATGATTGTCTTTGGTCCCCAGAAACAAAGAGAGAGCGTCATCTGTCACCTACAGTCTCTCTCCCTAAAACCTTCAAACAAGGTCAGAAATCTAGGGGTAATACTGGACTCAGACTTAAATTTTAATAGCCACATCAAATCAGTAACATCAGCAGCTTTTTACCATCTAAAAAACATTGCCAGGATCAAAAACATAGTGTCTAAAGCAGACTTGGAGATTCTTATCCATGCATTTGTCTCCAGTAGGTTAGACTACTGCAATGGCCTGCTCACAGGTCTGTCCAAACAGGCTGTAAAACAGCTGCAGTACATTCAAAATGCAGCAGCTCGAGTCCTGACAAGAACCAGGAAGTACGACCACATTAGTCCAGTCCTCAGGTCTCTGCACTGGCTTCCTGTGGCTCAGAGAATAGACTTTAAAACAGCTCTGCTTGTTACAAGTCTCTCCATGGCCTCGCACCAAAATATATTAGTGACATGTTAGTCCCATATGAACCAGCCCGGACTCTGTGGAGCACAGTGACTGGACTCATGTTACTGCCCAGAGTCAGAACTAAACATGGGGAGGCTACTTTTCAGATTCATGCTGCTAAAATCTGGAACAGTCTTCCTGAAGATGTGAGACAGGCCTCCTCTCTGACAATGTTTAAAACCAGTTTAAAGACAGTTCTGTTTAGCTGTGCTACAACTGAGGGATTTTATATTTTTATCTTTTTTTTAATGTACTGTGATTATTTATGATTTTAATGGTCTCTTGTTTTGTTCAGCACTTTGAATTGCCTTGTGTATGAATTGTGCTATACAAATAAACTTGCCTTGCCTTGCCTTGCCAGCAGCGTGTGAAGGAGGTGTCGCAGTAAGGAGGACGGTAAGGGCTCTTCTGTGTAGGGGCCAAGGCCATCTCTACACTCCCACTATACTCACTTTGTCACACATTAGTGCTCACGCAACAATGAGCTACTGTCATTGATAATCATGAAGATGTCATGTCCTTTTTGAGAAACAAAGCGTGAGAAGATAACACTAGACCTCCCGGAGCAGTCAATTTGACATATTTTACTTTAGTTTAAAGGTGCGGTATTACGCTTTTAGACTTTTCTCTGGTTTAAACATCATTACAGTGCTATTTTAGACTCCACACACATGCCCAGAGTTGTTTTCTTATGGATTTCTTCAAGCTTTAGTTAGAGAACGATCTTTGTCTTTTATTCTCGAGAGGAAGAGAAATGCCCAAGTCCACATCTACGAACGATTTCAACATCAATGTAGAATATAACCCGGTTTTTGTGTATTTAAAATGGTTCTGAAATATTGTACAACAAACAGGAAGACACTACACAATATGCTGTTTGCTGTCAAATAATAACAATAATAATAATAATAATAATAATAATACTAATATGTATAGAAAAATCAGCGAATCACAGCCCACTGCCAGCTCCCGGGTCCAGCTCCCGGGTCCAGCTCCCGGGTCCAGCTCCCGGGTCCAGTGTACTGTATGTCTATGGTATGGTCTTGGTATGGTAAAGGTATGGGCTTTTCTGTTTGTCAAAGACTAAAAGTGTTAGGATCGTGTCAACTTGGAGAAAACATTTTTTTGGTGTTTGGCCCAAAGAGGAAGAATGCGGCTGGACTTTTTTTCACAGGGACGTGCCTCTGAAATCTGTTCATCTGAGACACTTCACTAGAACTACAGTTACCATAAAACTGGACTTACTCAACAGCCGATCTGGAACCTGGAAGCTGAAGAGTTTGCTTTGGAGATAAACACCTGGCAACGTGAGGCTACGTCACTGCACAGGCGTGGGGAGCAGACTCCTCTCTGGCTCTCAGCTCGGTTTTCCACCAGATAAGGGCAAGCGCTAGTTACTATAGCAACAGACTGCTTACTGTCAGCAGGTATTTCAGTTTTAGCACTAATTTTACTTTAGAAATTAAAAGTAATGAAAAAGGACGGCTCTTTTTCATAATTGTGGGAGTTGTAGTATTAACCTTAAGTAAGTAAGTAAGTAATGTTTATTTATATTGCGCATTTTACAGATCGAGGTCACCCAAAGCGCTTTACAAATGTTCAGAGTCAGATATTGTTCCAATCCTTCCACACACGGTGATGACAGAAGCGAGTCCAGAACACACTGGACCATCAGCTCCAACACCATCCATTCACTCTCTCATTTACATTCATACCTATTGTGCATGTTTTTAGTGGTAGGGGAAACACTCAGAAAGGCCCTGTTCCGACCGGGATTCAAACCCAGGACCTCCTTGCTGAGAGGCGAGAGTGCTATCCTCTCAGCCACTGTGCCGCCCGTTAACACTAATATCATACATAAACTACTCAGCTCTAAATGCCATCTCTGCTTCATAAATGTAACTTTGATAGACTGGATAAAAATACAAAACAGACTTTCTTCTTGAAGACATGCAGCACTAGAGTATAGTCTATTTTCAAACAACTGTGAGAGAGGTGCTTGGACTCACAGTGCACAGAGAAGGGCCCCACGTTGGCGGCGTCATCCCCCAGGTCATGAGCAGACACACAGGTGAAGACGGCCTCTGCGTCCCCCTTGGAGGCCACGTACTGCAGGATGGACATGGTGCTGGACAGCCCCGTGGATGGCTCCACCTTGGTGCTGCTGGTGATGACCACGGCTGCAAACAACAGATCAAAGCAGTTAAGATTAGGAGACGCCTCAGGAGGAAGCATGTGCAAACACACTGTTTGCTCTTGTGCTTTTCTGTCGGACCAGAGGAGCGCTTTCAAAAATAAGCTGTTGGAAATAAAGCATGATTATCCTTAAACATGCAACACTTTGAAGAAGGGAGTAGGTTTCTACCTACACCTGACAGACGAAGTGTCTGTAGATGTGATTGTGTTGTTAGACGGCCTGTATTTAAATGACATGAAGATGTACAAATCATATTTTTTTAACTAAAAATACAGAATGTATGTTTATGGTTTTCAAGCAGATTATACAATCAGAGAGTGGAATGAGGTTCTCAACAAAAAATAGGACCACACATTTGTCAAAATGAAAGCAGATACAAAAATAAGACATTTTACAAAACATTATTTAATACAATTTCTGAATCGGTGAATTGCATCAGTAATCAGGGCTTAGCTACATGTGCCTGAGGCAGGAAGCTTCTGGCAACCACAGTTGGGATTGTAATTCTAATGACTCTATTGCTGCAACCAGCATCCAACCTATTGGGAGAGGCTCAGGTGGAAACATTTGTTTGCGTTTCTGCAAAGAAGAGCAAACAACCATATTACAAATGGTTCCTTTAAAGCTGGAATACTGTAAACAAACAAAATTAATAAATGTCGCAGACTTCTTTTCAAGCTACAGTATTTCCATTCTATCACCAGGTCTGGCTAGATCGCGAGCAAGACATTTCAGATTAAAGCCGGGGCACATAACTTTCAAACTTTCATCAAATGTATTTAAAGATTTCTTACTTTTCCCAAATATAGAAACTAATAAAGAAATCCATCAAACTAGTCACACACATTTTGTATGTTTGGTCTCTGCCTCATCTTTAGATCAGATTTTTCAGACAGAAAAGTGAAAACGAGAGGACTACCATCACTCAGCCAATCAGCCCAAAGCCTCAAATAGTGACTCACAGGGCTCTTTTTTACACTAATACAAAAGATCAAGACAGGAATCAGACCACAACTGATTTTTTCTCAGAACTGGACCGAGAAATCTCTTTTGCTTTAGGGACAAACAACATGCGTTATTTATGAACGAACAGGTTTGAGGAAGTTGCGAAGAATCGACAACCTTGTAAAGTCTTCCGAGACAAATCTGTGATTTAGAGCTATACACAAATAAACTGAATTGAATTGAATACTGTCAAAGCAACCGATAATGAATCTACAAACATCTCAAACATGAATTTCGGTCGATTTCAAATGTGAAGATGGTCACTTTGTTTTCTTCATGTCGCTCCCGACCCGCCTGGGAGCGCTTCAGTCCTGCACCTGTCTGCATTATTAAGATTTTGACTGTAGTGTGTTCATTACTATTCACCCGTTGTCCTATTGTCTGTTTCATGGCGCGACAACAGGAGCTCTGAACCGGCCCTCTCCATCTACACCTGCGGACTGTCCTGCCCGACCCGCCTGGAAGTGCTTCAGTCCTGCACCGGACCTGTCCACGCTCTGCGGCCGCTGCGTGGAAATGGTCCTGGTTCTGTATCTTAGGTCCTGGATCTACAGCCCGTCCGTCTGTTGGAGCGGGTCCCTTTCTCAAACCATGGGTCTCCCCGAGGTTTCTCACTTTTTCCCACTGGTTTTTGTGAGTTTTTCCTTGCCGATGCAGGTCTCTCCCCATGGACCAATACATATGTGTATATTTTGTGTCTTAACTGTTGATTCTCTGATCTGTGTTGGTGATTTCAATGGTTTTGTTCAGTCTCTGAGATGACTTCTGTTGTGATTTAGGGCGATACAAGAATAGGTTGTTGTTGTTGTTATATGTGTTTCGCCGCTGCCTGTCAGTGTTGGAGGAAGTCTGTCGAGTATGTACATGAGTGTTTTCTCCGTTGTCGCAGGCAGCTGTTTGAAGTGCAGCCTTAGTGTCGCCTTACCTCCCGCCCTGACGGTTCTCTCCCCCGGGGGACACGTTGACGAGACTATTGTTTAAGCTGGGGCCCTGGACAAATATGATCTATAACATGATGGATTGTTTTCTGTGCTTTGCTGGCAGAGGATGAAAAATAGCAGCGGTGTCTCCACTTAAAGCTGGGGTACCTAGCTTTTGAAACCACAACAACTGAAATCAATTTAATACAGATGTTTCTCGCTCTCGCAAAACATGATGTTCCATAAATGGAGACGCGCAACTGCCTTGAATTGTTAATGATGATATTTACTTCTACAGCAGGCGCCACAGTGGGGCGGCTGCGGCTGTAAAGTGCCAAACAGATGTTGTGTCCTCAGACAAATTTCACCCACATTGTCGAGAATGAGTCTTGTGCGTGTGGTTGCCTCGCTTCTGTCAGTGTGCCCCAGGGCAGCTGTGGCTACAGTAGTAGTTTATCACCACTGTGTTTGGAGTGAAAGAATAATGACATGTGAAGCGTCTTTGAGTGTCCAAAAAAGTTCTGTATAAAACCAATGCATTATTATTATTAAATGTAGGTTTGTATAATATTTCTGATTTCAAACAACACTTATGTACCTTTAAAGTTGGGGTACCTAATTTTCAATCCACAACTGTGCAACTGTGTAGTGCTGCAACTCAAAAATTGTATGTACATATTGATTGATTGCAATTTGATTTATTTGTCAGCACTCAATGTTATTTGACAGAGATTAGAACATAGATAGAACATGTTTACAGTATATATAGTGCTTTAGAACCAGTCTGCATATGTTATCTCAGTTTGACCCAGATAATGCTGAAGTGTTGCTACCAGAGGACATTCTTATTTATCCAGGACAACTATATCATTACACATATTATTATTATTATACATATACTTTACTGTGTTCAAATAATCTCAACCTGAGATGAATGGTTCTTATGTGTTTGTTATTATTGCATTTCCCGTCTTCCAACTGTTTTATTCTCTAAACCTTTGTTGCCGAATCGAGAAAAAAATCATGACTGCTGTAGTGATTTAGGGCTGTACAAAAGTGAATGTAATTACTTAATTGATTATTAAAATAGTAACGATAATTGAAAACACTTGATTATTTGTGATGATTTCATTCATAGTTACGAGACCTGTATAATTAAACCCACATAACTAGTTTCTCGCTCTCAAAACTGTTTTTACATGCATGTATTATTGCTCTCTTTAGTTCAGATTTTTCAGACAGAAAAGTTAAAGAGAGGCCATAGACCACTCTATAGGACTCATAGACCTTATATTAGAAGTGCAAGAACCAAGTACTGATGCACACCACCACAGATGAATGTGGAAGAAGACATTTTGAAAATAAGATAGCTAGAGCATAAAAAAAAAGTGTTTTGTTCCTAAGATGGTTGCTAAGGTGAGCTGGACTTTTGCCTTTCTATATAAAGTCTATGTGACCTCTGCAGCTCAGTCACGCAGCTCTCAGCCAAAAGCACGACAACAGTGACTCACAGCGCTCTTTCTTACAAGTCTGCAAAGAATACGCTGTTTTCTACAATGGAGACAGTGTGATGTGGTCTGTGTTTACAACATTGGACTTTTATAAGGCTTTTTCTGTTCAGTAAAATCATGTGTTCACTTGAAGGAAAGTGAAGTACCCCAGCTTTAAGTACTGCACAAACGTACCTTTATCGTCGGCCACCAGGGCATGGCCGTTCTTCTTCCACGTGATGCTGGCCGCTGGGTTGGCATCTGCTACAACACATGTGCCCACCTAAAGAAAACAACGAAAAAGAAAGTGAATTCAAAGCGCTCCAAACGCCAGCTGAAGATATATAAATATACCATAACAATAAGTGTGTTATCTGATAAATGTAATTAGCAGAAGAGAAAAGGTGAATTTACAGATGTAGCAGAATGCCAAGGACGTGTTTGAGAATATTTACATCAATATAAATGTGGAATTGCTTCATTAATATTGTTACAATGTGGTCTTAAGATGACATCAAGCTTCTTTTTCAAACACATTGTTTTATTCTAGTGCTAAAAAACAAAAACACCTATCATGTCAAAACTTTTTACTTTATAATATATAACATGATAATATATATAACCATGTTATAGATATATCTATAACATGGTTTTAAAGGCTGCAAGATCCCAAATAATACAAGGCAAAATAATGTACATCCCAACCTGACCTCATACCGTCATTGAGGTTTAAAATGAGTTTCTGGTGAAGCTGAAGTTGTCAGAGAGCTGGAGGTTCTAAGCTTTAAAATGATATGTGGCATGTGTATATTAGATTGGATGGACTCAGTTCTGTAAGTAACTAAGTAAATAGTTTCTTGCAGAACCAACCAGTTAATTAAACCATAATTCAACATGGAGCATTCTGAATGTGGAGAGAGAGAGAGAGTAGTGTTGTGTTGTCTGAATTAAGACCCTTCATTCATAAAAACAAGCTGTATGTGTGTATGCTGTTAATTATAACGGCTCAAATGACATGTTTATACCTGACTTGTGTAATACAGCCAATATTACTTGTTATGCTTATTCCAAGTGGAGGGATTGTTTTAATATATATTTAATATATATTATAGTTATATATTCATATATATAGATGATACTACAGGGCCATGTGATTAAATCTGTATTTTATTCTAAATCAAATTGAAGTTGCAGACCTTTAAATGCATTTCACTCATGGCAGCAAAAGCCTGTTCTTACCCTCGCATAATTCAACTCAACAACATTCAAAACCGAGTCTCTTAAGTGCGCCGTATAAAACCCCATTTAAGCTGAAGATGTCTGGTTATTATTGCAGCCACAAACACAGCCCACAGAGCAGCGAATGAGGGCCTCTTTTCATAAGCTCATTGTCTCTTGGTTCCATCTGCAGGTCTGAAGGTCAGAGCAGCCGCCGCAGACTGAGCGTGTGTGAACCAGATACAAACTGAGTCATATAAGAACATTCCTCTTCCAGCACGGGCTTCCTATCCAGCTCTGCGTACTGTAAAAAGTCACCCACGACACTCATTAGTCCACAAACAAATGGAGGAGAAATTGCACACCCGTGTCGAATATACAAACGGAAAGTGTTGGAAGAAAATGTTGTCACTGAGTGGGCTTTTTCAGAATAGCTTCGGGGGAAAATGGAGGAGTGAGTAGCAGAGTAGAACTTGCTATTCTCTGTCAGCTTGTATCGGTCTATTTTAGTGATACGCAGAGAGGGAGCTAGCACTAGTAATAAGATACAAGTGACTGTGGCAGGAAGTCAATCTCAGAGCGAATCGACAAGCGATAGAAATGCATAATGCGTGATGAAATGTAAGAGGATATGTTAGAAATGCTTTGGACGCCTTTGAGCACTCATTTAAAACACTTGTGAGCTCCTTTTTGGCATGGGTCGAGTTAAAGTTATGACATCTGTGTGAGTGCTTCTGCTTCATGATGCTTATTTGGCTGCTTAATTATTGCACAGGTGTGGCTGGCCCTTGGGCTGTCTGTGCTTGAATATTAAAGAAGCTATATATTGCGACAGTGGCTCAGTTGGTAGAGCATTGGTCACTGAACCTAATGGTTATGGGTTTGATCCCCCCACGACCCATCTCATCGGCTCCCACTGAAGTCTACTGTCGTTATGTCTCTGGGAAAGACACATTGCCTGAAGCCCCCGCTGAAACACCATGGCTGTATCTTCTACCAAGCAGCAGCCATCGCCCCGTGGACCCACCACCTGCAGGAGGATCAGTGGGCCGTTCTATGTGATTTGAGTGGCGTCTCTGATTGCCACCCGCCCAACCCAGATATGGAACAATAAAGGGGATGAAGATTACATGTAATGGTATGACATATTTTTACATTGTTCCCTCAACCCCTTCGATCTATAAGCTCCTGTCTCAAAACTGTAATGAAAATAAATGTACCTCATTATTGAAATCCCACTCAAAACCATGAACTTTTTTTGCTCTTTTCTTTTAGCATTAGTTTTGGTGATTTCTCAGGTGAAATCTTTACAATCACATAGCTCTGTGTGATGGCTCATTTAAAGACAGCCACAGTGAGCCAGGTGCACAAGTTCTTCTGACACTGAGACCAGGGAGACGTGATCCGGTTAAGTCCATTTATTGAACAAAGTAATAATAAAAAAATGAACATTACAGTCTTCCACAGTTTGCAGGTAGAAAATCTGTGTGCTCCCATGGTCCCACATGGTCTCAAACTGATGACCTCAGAGCAGTCTAAATAATGGGAGTGTCTCTGATTTTAAACCTGCTCTACCTGTTTTTAAACTCAGATATTTTGCAATTGCCTTTTACAGTTTTTAATTATTATGACATTTACAGTAACTTATAACATTTTAGAATCTTTCTTTAACTTAAGAATTTTAACCGTTTAAATTGAACTTTTTAGGGTTTTAACTAGCCTGGCCGACCGACCAATCAGCGAGCGCGGGAGTTAGTTATGTTGTAGTTAGTTGTGGGTGACGTCAAGAATTTGCGTCGAACGGGAAGGTCGTAGTTTGGCGAAAAATGTGATAGTAAAGTAATCCGGTCTGGTTCTATCAAGAAATTGAAGCCAGAGCAAGAGGAATGTTTAGCAAATGTAATCGCTAGAAACAATTGTGGCGCTACTCCCCACGGGCTCCGTTACACTGCAAAAAATGATCAAATATGAGATAATAATGGCTTGAATTGAGTTGTTTTTATCTTAATTTAAGTTCTTTCTGACTGTCTTAAAACGAGATTTGCCAATGAGACAAGCAATTTTGACTTGACTCAAGAACTATTGCTTTATTTTCTCATTCCAAGAGAGAAATGTCTTGTATCTTTTTAAAACAATATATTTTTTCTTGTTCCACTGGCAAATCTTGTTTTCAGCAACATTTTAGTATTTTTTGTCTTTAATTCCATCATTTTTTGCAGTGTAGCAGCAAAGGAGATGGCTAGGCTAAATGCTAAATGCTAACAACGAACTCGGGCACATTACATCCATCATAGTAAACTCAGATCCAATCATTTCAATCTGCAAAAGGTGTTAACCCCTCCCACTTGGAGCAAATCCAGACCTTAGTATGAAATGTATTTTGTACTATGGTGTGGTACGACCAGGCTAAGTTTTAACCATTTTTAACATAAAATCTGAATGACCTTTTAACAAAAACGTCTTATATCTTAAATCTTATACTTTTAGCTTTAATCTAAACACTTTTCAGGAATTTAACTGTGTTGGCTCTCACAACAAGGGAAACGTCATTCACTGTTGTGCATACATTATACGAGTTATCAAACATCTTTAGTTAACATTGGCTGTTATACTTACTGTATTTAGATCATGGGAAAAGTAAATCTAAGCCCCGTGGGAGAACATTTCCAGAAGTCGTGTTGCACTTTGAGAACTACTGGACTACACAATATGAAGAGGATGGGAAGAGGACCGACCATTGTGATCGTTAAACATGGAGACGCACATACATACTTGGGAACAGACAGGCTTATTGTGGCATTAATTTGAGCAATGATTAGACACTGTACCAACCATGTGATCTACATTCACACAGTCCATTCTGTCAACCCGCAGGAGCACATGACCGGGGCTGGTTCTCTGCTGTGGGCGTGTGTCTGTGATATATTTGGGCTTAAGCTGTGTGATTCCCAGGATAGTATAGTGTTCTTCTGCAGCTCTGTCTCCTCATCTCTGTAAGCCTGCACCATATTTACTCTGCTGGGCACAAGGCAGGAAGCCTGACGGGAATCCCTCTGCTTTGATCCTTAGATAAGCAGTGCCCCGTGTCAACCTCCACAATTTTCTCTTCGCTGGCCAGCCATAATGAGCAGGTCTGAAAGATAAATTGCACCTCAGCAGAAAGTATCTATATCCAGTCTGTCAGTTAGAGAAATCTGGTAACTTAGTCCCAGCGATGTAGTCAAAAAGTAACAGGATACTTCGGAGGAGGCAATGTGCTTGTATTCAAATTTTGTGGGCAGATGGATGGAGATGAAACAGATAATGTTTTTGTATGCAGCCATCTCAGATAATAATAACTCATGGTTAAATCGATAAATAAAACCAAAACGAGCAGGCATTTTTTTCCTCCTACGGATTTACAAAAGTATTTTCCACTAGTCTAGAGGAAAATACTTACCGCTCCAGAGATCACATCACCCCCGTCCTCAATTCTGGCTTCCTGTTCCATATCGCATCCAAAACAAGATCCTCCTCCTCACCTACAAATCCCTCCATGACCTGGCCCCCTCTTACCTACTCCTCCATCATCACTGTCCCTCCCGCCGCCTCAGATCCACAGACTCCAACTCCCTCACTCCCATCAGGACTAAACACCGAGCCTTCGCTGCAGCTGCCCCCACTCTCTGGAACTCACTCCCTCAACCATCAGAGACTCACTACAGAACTTTAAATCTCTCCTAAAAACCCACCTGTTTCAGCCTTTCTTTAATTTTGTTTCTCAATGTTTATTCTATATGTTTTGTAAAGTGTCTTTGAGTGTCCAAAAAAGCACTATATAAGTTTGATGCATCATTATTATTATAGTCTAGAATATACCAGCCCTTTAACTAGGAATAAGGGCTGGAGGGTAGATACGTTACAAACCGCAACGCTTCTAAATATTGTATAATAAAATCCATATTACTACTTTAGTTTCTTTCTCTCAAAACACTAGGTCATTAGTTTTGAAATGCATTTGGGCTTTCTCATATTTAGATCAGCTTTGTCAGACAGAAAATTGAAAAAGAGAGAACCACACTCAGT